TTTATGTTGTCTACCACGTTCTGGTGTCTACTGTTTTAAATGTTCTGGTATCTACTGTACATGATCTGATGCCACTAGTCCATGATCTGGTGTCTACTGTACAAGTTCTAGTGTATTCTGTACATGTTCTTATGGCTACTATACACGTTCTGGTGACTACTGTTGACGTTCTGATACTTACTATGCAAGTTCTGGTGTCTGCTGTTTTACACGTTCTGATATCTACTGTACACGTTCTGGTGTCTACTGTACATGTTTTGATATCACCTATAAACGATCTAGTGTCTACTGATTTACACGTGTTGATATGTATTATACACGTTCTGGTGTCTACTGTACATGTTTTGATATTAACTTTATACGATCGGATGTCTACTGTTTTACACGTTTTGATATCTGCTATACACGTTCTGGTTTCTACTTGTTTACCCATTTTGATGTCTACTATAAACGTTCTGTTGTCTGCTGTTTCACATGTTCTGATTTCGACTGTTCATGTCCTGATGTCTACTGTTTTACATGTTCTCATTTCTACTGTACATGTTTTGGTGTCTATTGTACATGTTCTGGTGTCTTCTGAACGCGTTATGTTGTCTACTGTTTTAAATGTTCTGGTATCTACTGTACATGATCTGATGCCACTGTACGCGTTCTGAAATCTACTGTACGCGTTCTGATGTCTACTGTACAAGTTCTGGTGTCTTCTGTACATGTCATTATGGCTACGTTCTGATATCTACTGTACACGTTCTGGTGTCTACTGTATATGCTTTGATGTCTACTGTACACGTTCTGGTGTCTACTGTACATGTCATGTTCTGATTTCAACAGTATATGTTTTGGTGTCTACTGTACATGTTCTGGTGTCTAGTGCACACGTTCTACTGTTGACGTTTTGTTGTCTACTGTTTCACATGTTCTGATTTCAACTGTACATGTTTACATGTTCTGATGTCTACTGTACGCGTTCTGTTGTCTACTGTTTCACATGTTCTGATTTCAACTGTACATGTTTTGGTGTCTACTGTACATGTTCTGGTGTCTACTGTTGACGTTTTGTTGTCTACTGTTTCACATGTTCTGATTTCAACTGTACATGTTTTGGTGTCTACTGTACATGTTCTGGTGTCTAGTGCACACGTTTTTTTGTCTACTTTTTCACATGTTCTGATTTCTACAGTACATGTCCGGGTGTCTACTGTACACGTTATGTTGTCTACTGTTTCAAATGTTTTGATTTCTACTGTATATGTTCTTTTGTCTACAGTACATGGTCTGTTGTCTACAGTACATGTTCTGATGTCTACTGTACGCGTTCTGATATCTACTGTACACGTTCTGGTGTCTACTGTACATGTCATGTTCTGATTTCAACAGTATATGTTTTGGTGTCTACTGTACATGTTCTGGTGTCTACTGCACACGTTTTGTTGTCTACTTTTTCACATGTTCTGATTTCTACAGTACATGTCCGGGTGTCTACTGTACACGTTATGTTGTCTACTGTTTCAAATGTTTTGATTTCTACTGTATATGTTCTTTTGTCTACAGTACATGGTCTGTTGTCTACAGTACATGTTCTGATGTCTACTGTACGCGTTCTGTTGTCTACTGTTTCACATGTTCTGATTTCAACTGTACATGTTTTGGTGTCTACTGTACATGTTCTGGTGTCTAGTGCACACGTTCTACTGTTGACGTTTTGTTGTCTACTGTTTCACATGTTCTGATTTCAACTGTACATGTTTACATGTTCTGATGTCTACTGTACGCGTTCTGATATCTACTGTACACGTTCTGGTGTCTACTGTACATGTTTTGATATCACCTATAAACGATCTAGTGTCTACTGATTTACAAGTGTTGATATGTATTATACACGTTCTGGTGTCTACTGTACATGTTTTGATATCAACTTTACACGATCGGATGTCTACTGTTTTACACGTTTTGATATCTACTATACACGTTCTGGTGTCTACTGTTTTACACATTTTGATGTCTACTATAAACGTTCTGTTGTCTGCTGTTTCACATGTTCTGATTTCGACTGTACATGTCCTGATGTCTACTGTTTTACATGTTCTCATTTCTACTGTACATGTTTTGGTGTTTATTGTACATGTTCTGGTGTCTTCTGTACGTGTTCTGTTGTCTACTGTTTTAAATGTTCTGGTATCTACTGTACACGTTCTGTTGTCTACTGTACATGTTTTGGTGTTTATTGTACATGTTCTGGAGTCTTCTGTACGCGTTCTGTTGTCTCCTGTTTTAAATGTTCTGATGTCTACAGTACCTGTTCTGTTTTCTACTTAACACGTTCTGGTGTCTACTGTCCTTGTTTTGATGTCTACTAAACACGTTCTGGTGTCTACTGTCCTTGTTTTGATGTCTACTAAACACGTTCTGGTGTCTACTGTTCACATTCTGATTTAGACTGTACATGTCCTGATGTCTATTGTACACGTTCTGCTGTCTACTGTTTCACATGTACAGTAGAAATGAGTACATGTAAAACAGTAGACATCAGGACATGTACACGTTCTGCTGTCTACTGTTTCACATGTTCTGCTTTCAACTGTACATGTTTTGGTGTTTATTGTACATGTTCTGGGGTCTTCTGTACGCGTTCTGATGTCTACTGTCCACGTTCTGGTGTCTACTGTTTTACACGTTTTGATATATACTATACACATTCTGGTGTCTACTGTACATGTTTTGATATCACCTATAAACCATTTGGTGTCTACTGATTTACACGTTTTGATATATACTATACACATTCTGGTGTCTACTGTACATGTTTTGATATCAACTATACACGATCTGACGTCTACTGTTTATCACGTTTTGATATCTACTATACACGTTCTGGTGTCTGCTGTTTTACACGTTCTGATATCTATTATACACGTTCTGGTGTCTACTTTTTTACACGTTCTGATGTCTACTATACACGTCCTGGTGTCTACTGTTTTACACGTTCTGATATCTATTATACACGTTCTGGTGTCTACTGTACATTTTTTGATATCTACTATACACGTTCTGTTGTCTACTGTACACGTTCTGGTGTCTACTGCACACGTTCCGATATCCACATTAACGATCTGGTGTCTGATATCTACTATACACGTTCTGTTGTCTACTGTACATGTTTTGATATCTACTATACACGTTCTGGCGTCTGCTGTTTTACACGTTCTGATATCTACTATACACGTTCTGGTGTCTACTGTATATGTTTTGATGTCTACTGTACACGTTCTGGTGTCTACTATACACGATCTGGTGTCTACTGTTTTACACGTTCTGATATCTATTATACACGTTCTGGTGTCTACTGTACACGTTCCAATACCTACTTTACACGGTCTTAGGGCTATTCTTCACAATATGGCATGTACCCCTCCCTTTCTTTCGTCTAATTTTTTTTTTTCGAAACTATGGTAACCCTTCTTAGGTGTTATTAATACGTTACCAGGTCTGATGATGCGTTACCTAAATGATCTATTCCGGATTTGTTTATTTTGTCTGCCTTCCTTATCCAACGTTAAAATGTGATATAACATTATTACGTAATATTTTGGTTGTGCCGCGATCATTAATATATCAGCTGCTTCATCAAACAAAAAACTCTTATGCAATATATATGTTATTTTCATATAAAATTATGACTTTTTTAATAAAATACATATCGTTTGATTTCTTTTTGTTGTTATATGTTTGACATTTTAAAATCATTTCTGATCATTGGCATTATTATTGTCCTTCGTTTATTTAACCCTATATACAGCAAACTTAACTTGGTAGCCTAGTACACTGGAGTTAACAACAAACGTGAACTCCAGTTCACTAGCTTGTGCACTGGAGTTCAAATCGATGTGCACTGGGGTTCACTAGTTTGTGCACTGGAGTTCACATCGATGTGCACTAGAGTTCACATAAATGTGCACTAGCGTTAACTACAATTCACAAGGTAATTTTCTGTATCATATTATGTCTGGCCTTTTCGTCAGTTTAAACATACTATGATTTCTACCCTCTCGTATGCCCAATAAATCAATAAATCAATAAAATATTAGATGTCACCTATTCATACACTTATATTAAATTCCTTTTATGAAAATAGCATAGTAACTATAGAGCGCGATCACCTATTAACATATTAGCACATGCACTGACTTTGATCCATAGTACATGTACATGTTTATTCATGTATTGGTGGCAAATTACATTTACCTACTGATCAGAATCCAGGGGCAAAATCCGAGTAGATGGTATGGGGGAGGGGGACAAAACACCGTATACACACCTGCTATAGAAATTATGTTTCACTCTCTCTATCTCTTCAAACGGAGAGTTGGACGGTCCTGACCCTAAAAACATCCCTATGCATCAATGATATATATTTTCAGCGGGATGTCATATTCTTTTCAATTGTCTCCTTGTCAATCAAGTTATCAAGAAAACTTAGACTTTCTTTTAAAGAAAGTACTTAAAAGCAAACAAATATCTATTCTAGGAAGTGTGTAGTTATCTAGTACGGAATTAGATGCTGATCTCTAAGTCTGTGTTTCTAGTACGGAATTAGATGCTGATCTCTAAGTCTGTGTTTCTAGTACGGAATAAGATGCTGATCTCTAAGTCTGTGTTTCTAGTACGGAATTAGATGCTGATCTCTAAGTCTGTGTTTCTAGTACGGAATTAGATGCTGATCTCTAAGTCTGTGTTTCTAGTACGGAATTAGATGCTGATCTCTAAGTCTGTGTTTCTAGTACGGAATTAGATGCTGATCTCTAAGTCTGTGTTTCTAGTACGGAATTAGATGCTGATCTCTAAGTCTGTGTTTCTAGTACGGAATTAGATGCTGATCTCTAAGTCTGTGTTTCTAGTACGGAATTAGATGCTCTCTAAGTCTGTGTTTCTAGTAAGAAAATGTATTTAACTACATGTCTACTATGAAAATAAAATATAACAATAAACTTTAAAAATGTCCAAAAAAAAATGTATTGTCCAATCAAAAATTAACACCTAATTGTTATGTCAGATCACCTATTCAAAGAGTAGATGATTTGTGCATAAAGAATACATTAGGGATGTGTATATAAATATACATGTAATCCTTTTTTAAGAAATGATAAATTAACTACAAATGATAACAGCTCAGAGTCCTTGGATCATCTTTTAAAGAATCTGTGAGTGTGTTTAAAAACACACACTTTTAGTTCTTTAATTGTAACACCTGTGCTCTGTGGCTATTATGGACCACTGAACATACTGTACAGGTACAACATGCTCTATCATGGTTCAGTGACCAATGAATTGATGCTAGGGTGGTTATCAATTAGTGTTGACTATTTATGTAACAACCAGTTTGTAAACCATTTGAGGGATTAGGTAGTGTGAAACAGTCGATGTTTTGAGATAGAATTGTGCCCGAGTCTGTCATTTCCTGACAAAGGGACATCCACATTATCTTACCTGTAACCATGTACTGATTCATTTGTGTATATCTACTGGACAGACAATGGGTTGGATTAATTGACAAGAATAATTGCCGTCCACAGGTGAATGGACAGTGGGTGGCCATCATATTGAAAAGAAAAAAATGTATCAGGGGGTGGTTACACTGCCCTAGCAACCATCTTTAAATCTGCCACTGAAATAAAGTTGTAACTGTATTATTAAAACTTGAAATTACCTGTGAAACTTAATTGATTTGATTATTAATTAGTAAATCGATCAACTTATTTCATTTTTGTACATGTATATATAACTTTACCTACAGGTGCTTGCACTGTGCAAACATGAGTTTTGTCATCATTTTAACAAGTGGCAATTCATTACTGTACCACCAGGCCAGCTGTATACCTGCTACATTGGTGTGGGGAACACATGTACAGTAGACCCAGGGGATGTGGTGGTGGTTGGGGGATATTTTTCTTATTCAACCATCAGGATGTTCATGTACCTGATGAGTATATAAATTTAACAAAGAAATCAAAATCAGACTAACCCATAGTTTTTTACTTCTAAATCTTAGTGTGAGAAGGCAACTTACGATTAACTAACTTTTATAAATTAATTACACATCTTTAGCTTGATATTTACCTTTTATCTATATAGTTCCATGCCATGATATAAAAAAAAATCTGGAATTTTAACTTTTCTTGACTTGTTGGATAAAACAAACAAGCGTATTACTCTATTGATGTCGTGTTTTAGAGAAACCTTTCATACAAAGTACCACATTTACCCATATCACTTAACAGATAGCGATCCCCCATTCTGACACTACAGCATTGCTATGAAATGTGATGTGAATTTAACTATGATAAAGTGAACTTTTAATTTTTTCCCCTGAAAAAGTACAGCTTTATATAGATTTTCTATAATCACCAGAGATGGTGTACAAATTTGTACATGTATATGTTCAGTCGAAATTTTAAGTAATCAAAACTCCAAAAAAATACGTGTATTGTGAATTCGATATTATGAAATATTCAATTAAATCACGAACTTAGATAATCTAGTTCTGTGGTTGAATTATTCTTTCCTTTCTTGTTAATTTTTCATATCACAAAGGAACCCTATTTCATTATCAAAATTAAAACTTGGGTAAACACTGTAGTGCACTGGAGTTAGCATCGTAGTGCACTGGAGTTAACACTGAAATGAACTGGAGTTAACATTGAAATGAACTGGAGTGCACCTCAATGTTTTGTCAAGTGCACTTCCTTGTTCACTAGGTGTGCACTAAGAAGTGCACTAGATACCAAGTTAAGTTTGCTCCCAACTGTATATCTGGTAAATGTGTTAATAATTGCTTAAGATATCATTTTTGATTCATAATCACAAAATGTTTGTTTCAAAATATGTAAAATTCACCATTAAGTGTCTTTTTCGAAAAAGCAATTCTTATTAAAAATGTTTTTCATTTCAACATGTTTTATTAAATAAATCCTATTTAAAGGAATTGGGCAACAGACAAAGCCTATACAAGTTCTCTCCCTTACATGGTAAATGTCATCTCGTGGATACGATAACTAGTACATTTGTATACAGTTCTAGAATATTTATTCATACAACGCCATTTCTTCTTTCATTTGTAAACCATTATAGTTATTTCCATATTAGTGAACTTGTACCAAGGGAGACAACTTTCCGAAAGTGATATATGAATACAGGATAAATTGTATGCAGGACATGAAGATGTTTCGAAGAAATATATTTCAAGCATGTTTTAGACAAAACAATCACAATGGATGACGAAGTAAAACAAATCAGTTGGTAAGATAATCGTCATAGGAACAAGACATAACAAAAGGTTCAAAAGTTCAATATGTTTTCCCGCACTTAAGCTAAAAACACACACAACAGTTAGTAATGAGCTAGTAATACTGTAACAGAATTAATCGTTCCTCGCTGCATTTAGGATCCCGCATCCACAGTTATCCCTACGGTATCGTACACGTTAGGGACGGTCCTAGTTAGGGAATCAAGTTTTTCATAATGTTCCTCAGCTGTGGCACTCTTGGAGATTTGCCTCCCATTTTTGGTGTCTACAACTTCATAAGGACCATCTGAAATAAGAAAAGGTGAAAAGAGGGCAATATATAGTTAACAAAAATAATTCGAAATGTTAATTCGTAGTGCGACGTTGCTAATGCAATACGTAAGGTCACGCTTTTAACTTATTAATTACGTTGCAAAAAGCAAAATATGGTTATCAATACGCCTACTTAACATAATGCAAAGCAAAAGCGTATATAGGGGTAGAAACAATTGTATAAGACAAACTTATTTTTCTAATGCTGGCTTCATTTTATCAATTGATCACAAACGTTCAGTCTGTATATTGATCGATACTAAGCTACCCCATAAGATTTCAACGTTGATGCATTAAAAGAAAAAAAACAGGGACGAGACTTCAACAGAAACTGAAATTTCGTAGCTTAAAATTTCTACAAAAGAAAATCTTGATAAAGTGGTTTACATGTCAACAGAGCGCATTATACGGAACATCTGGTTCCAAAGTATGGGATGAGGTTGTAACTGTTTGTAGGAGGGGCATTTTTGCCCTTTTAAAATACTACACCCTCTGTTGGAATTATCATTATTATATTTTCCCCAAGAGTACACTAAAACGGTACAAGCATGCCTACGTATAACACTTAAGCTAAAAACAAACAAATGTATATTGCCAAAAAGTTGTTGACGATACCGTATTTACTTCAAGGACATTAGATTCTCTTTTAAGATATGCTTGATACACATACATAAAAACCAGAAAAGACATTTCCATAACATTACAAAAATTACCTATATCTGCCTTTAACTCGTGTCTTTTGGCTTGTTGTAAGATTTCGGACATCTGAATAGGTCCCGTGTTGTCTCTGTGCTTCATCGAGAGACGCCTGGTCTGTACAATAACTAAGATGACCAGTAGTAAAATGACCACACCACATCCAACACCTATCCCGACTGCAGCAGTTTTGTAGCTCTCTGTGTCTGTAAGGCCTTAAATCAGGTTATTAAAGTCAGCATTAATTTAAAAAATTTAAGTATAAGTTTAAAGTCAAGTATGTATGTCTATTCTATACACAGTTTTATCAAACATCTAGAATGTATTTGTACCTTGATACATACTCTTTAAATTTAGATGGATGCCGGTGTTCTTCATGAAATAAAAGTGCAAAGTACTTTTTTTCAAAATTAAAACAGTTGAAGAAGAAATGTGACAGAGTTAAATACAAGGTTGTAAAATCAAAGTAGAGATATTGGCCATAACTTTTGCACCTACACAGTATCCATTGGTCTGGATACAGAAGTTGTCATTGCAGTAGTGAGGACAAATTTTATCACAACGCACACCGTAATACCCAGCTTGGCATTCTAAAACGTGACCAGAACGCAAATATTTATATGCAATTTGTACTTAGATGTTCCAAAATTTACTATTCACACATTATATATTGTATGATTAGTTTTCAATCACGGTATAAAAGAAAACTGTCTCAAAGGTGAATTTGTTTTTATGTTATTGTAGATGTAATTATAATTTTGTATCATTGCCTTTATGTAAGTACTGTAAGATACTGGAAAGAATTCATTTTGTGTCGTTCAAATTATATGTTGATATACAAAATGGTGCCTGCCAATGGTACATAACTAACAGAGAGAGGAAAACCTAGAGGAACCAATGCCTACATACTTAAGGCGGCGTTAAGGACCATTCCGTATCCAGATTATCCAGATGTTCTCTTTCCTATTGGTGGAACAATATCTTGTTTATTCCATACGAAAAACACTAACAACTAATCGACATTTTTTAATTTTTTTTTTGGGGGGGGGGGGTTCAAATGCGGTAGCGGTACATCACTTAAACATAACATAAAAATTTTCAGTATAAATTAGTTAATAGGCATAAAATACAAATCAAAAGAATGTTTATTCCTCAAATAGAACAAATTTGTAACTCCAGCGCCTCCTACATTGATTTTCAGGACACCAAGGACCCCATGTGTCATTAATGCAATATTTTTCAAAATACACAAAAAAAAAAAAAAATCTGATTCCAATGATAAATGGCATTTTTAATAACCTTTCCAGTGATATATAACAATAGACAATGTTTGGTGTCATTTTCATGCAAACGACATTTTTACTCGTTATTAGTCATAAAATTATCACATTTTGATTTCTTCATTTTTCGTTTAAGTGACAGAATAAGTATGATGAAGCTCAGGTTCCATCAAATTTTGACATTTGAAAAAATCTTAAGGGATCCATCTGTTACTGCATACAAACTTTGTAAGGATGGATCACTAGATATGCCGACTTTTCGTAGCTTCTTTTCCCTTACCCCCTGATTTTTTTACTAAATATCAAAGTACTGAAAATTCGGAGTGACCGCTGTCACACGATCATAAAAAGAGTATTGCACATTATTTTTCACTCAAACTTGGACCACAATTTAGCATGGGACATTTTAGGTAAAGGAAATTCAGAATTTGTATAGAATAAGAATAAGAATGTGACTCCTGAAGGGTCACGTCAGAGATGCCATAAAAAGAGATGTTTCAGTGCTTTAGTCATGAAAAATGTAACAATTGGTTTCTAAATATTTCCTTCTGGTTGGTATATGTATACATGTAAGTATGGATTATAGAAAGGTTAATGTGGCACTATCAGTCAAGGGTTTACGTGTGACCTTTTGATGACTAGCACAGTATGTACTCTATCACCTTCATCAGACAACTGACCAGTGAAGCGTAGGTACATAAATGTGCAAAATATGTAAGAATCGCCGTTGATTTGGCTACACTATACATGCAAGCGTGTGTACACTTAATGACGAAAAGGACGATAAAAACTAACAAATCGATAAGAGTACACTTTGTCAAATAATCGGTCATAAATAAACGAGATTCTATGACCCCCCTCATCTCGATTAATCTGGCCCTTTGCATCGTATCCAGATGTCTTCCTTTCTCTTCCGTTTGAACAGATTGCTCTCTCTGTACAATACTTTGGAGTCATCCAAGTCAATTACATTATCTCGTTGTACGGTATGGTCTGTGCATTGGTAAAAATGCACCTATTGTTGTTTCAAGGATAATAACACGGGTTGATATTTAACGTCTCTCAGAACAGGTAAAGTATTCTATTTTTTACCAATGGATGTCTACAATTCCGGTGGGGGGGGGGGGGGGGGG